CTGATCTTATTCTGATGCTAGGGGGCTCTATCAGAAAACAAATTTTTCGAATAGAATACAAATTTTCAAATAATGCTGTGAATATTTAAATATTATTCAAAGGAGCTTTCTTATTTTGATATGTATGGAGTTTGAATATTTTTCACTAGATGGCGACACTAACAAGTTTTAAAACTTGAATGTAAGTCTCATTAGTAAATGAAAAATTAAATGTTAAAAAAATCAAATAAATCTTATTATTATTATTTTTTATTATTATTATTATTTTTTTTAAATCCATTATGTATCGACAATGACTGCATGAAAAACCCATTCAGACACGTTTTGAGTTGTACGGCTTCTGGCTCTTTTTTTGATACATTGGTGTTTATCATAAATTTTAATAAGTATAGATATGTGGTGTATCAATTACACCGTACGACAAAAAAAAAATTATCTTCTGTGACATGAACTTCGTGAATAGGGCGTTGTAGTAGATGGAAAAACTAGCAAAATTGCATCTTTGGTTTGTTCCATATACGTCTGTTTAAAAAAGTTATTCAATTTGGTAAATCTTCAGTACAAATATGAAAAGGGCGACTTTTAAACTGTATATTTCTTTCATTCTAAATTGGTGAACATGTGTATTTGAGGGTTTTTTGGTACGAGCAATCCATTTTTGACATTTATTTTGCGATATAATAACGTTTTGATACGATTTTCATACAAAAACGGGCAAAAATGATCGTTTACTTCATTTTTTTCCAATTTTTTTTTGTTGATGTTGAATTTGAATAACTTTTTTAAACAGACGTATATGGAACAAACCAAAGATGCAATTTTGCTAGTTTTTCCATCTACTACAACGCCCTATTCACGAAGTTCATGTCACAGAAGATTATTTTTTTTTTGTCGTACGGTGTTATAATTTATGTAATTTTTTTAGAAAAAACGAAGTTTTGCTCAAATTTAATCGAGTTTAATCTCATTGTAAGCAGGGTTGGTAAAAGATATCTTACCTCATAGATATCTGAAAGATATCTTGGTCGAGATAACATCTATTATATTAACTAGATGGAAACTTAGATTTTACTATTTATCTAATATCTTATATAGATATATATATATATATATATATTTATATATTTGCAATCTATCTCATTATTTTGAGATTAATTTGAGATATTTGTTAAATCTATAAACTTGAATCAACATTAAGTACACTTCCCATTCAAAATTTTCGTTTTGTGTAAAAAAACGAAAATTTTGCATGGGGGTATTTAATTGCCTTGAAAACTTGTGAACTTTTCTTATCAAAATACACAATAAGTTCAAAGGTATCAAAACATATAAAATAAAGAGGCTTACGTACGCAAGCTAACTTTTCCGCATGGAAACGAAATTTTGGGAATAAACTGAAATTATAGTCAATGTATGGTTGCAGTAACTTAAATTACCGTGAAAACTTGTGAATTTTATTTTCCTATCAAAATAAATAATCACACCAGGTTTAAAGAAATTTCAATCACAAAAATAGCCTGTTCAGTGTTAAAAGTTTCACGTCATTACAGTACCACAAAGGCATGTCTTTCATACAAAAACGAAAATTTTTGTGGATTTTTTTATGAAAAGTCTGTGAAAAATTGATTGCATCTTAAAAGTTTTAAGTTAAAACTAAATGTCACCAAAATGGTTGAAAAATGGGGTGATCAGCACGTCTCCTTGTAGTCCCAAAATATCATGCAAAGTCAGAATTTGAATTGAGTTTTTGGAAGAAGACTTATCGCGGTAACAAAAAAAGGAGCCACAGGACACAGGATACATCACACACAGCGACGCACATTAATATGCCCCCAAATCATCTCCAATCGTGTTTTCTACATGAAATATGCATAGAAAACATGTTTTGGGGCGACTTTATTTTTTGGCCTAATACAATACCTTTCCTACAGGACCTACACTACAGTAGGACCTACAGGACAGTAGGACCTACACTAGGTGTGCGGAAAAGTAATATATGAAAGGTGAAACTCAATAAAGAAGATTTTGATTAGATTATAGTAGTAATTCAGGGTTTTTTTTACTTATTTCATTTTCAGAATGATTTTCTTACATAATAAAGGAGAGATTACTTTTTCACAATAATTTCATAGTTTTTAAAAATTGTTTCAATAGTTGAATTTCTTCTGATTCAATTTTTTGACCGTTCGTGTCTTCAATTGCATTTGGTTCTTCCATCTGAATGTCAATCTGTTCAAGTGGCTCCATCAAACGAACTGGATCAATCGCTTCATCGTTCGTTTCACGAATTGTGCCTTCAATTTGATTTGGTTCTTCCATTCGAACGCTAGGGGAGTCTCTCACTTTTCTTAAGAATGAATATTTCAAGTTAAAATCGATATTATCGAATAAGTAAGATTTCAAACGATATTTTCAATAAAAGCCGATAAAAGCAGTTTAGAGCAATATTTGTCGATTTTTGATGGATATTTCAATGCCAACTTAACCTGCTATACCGACTTGTCATGTTGATGAAGTACTAGATTATGTTATTAAAATTTTCTGTCTATTTTTCTCAACAACTAAAAAAATACGATATATTTTATCAAAATATTTTATATTTTTTACAATATAAATATATTTTATTGAAGTTCTTTTACATTTTGTGGGATTGGTGTTCAAAATATTCGCGAATAGTTAATCAAAATGCTCTAGAAAATGCTATTCAAAAAATAATATGAATAATATAACCTCACTTTATTATGTATAGCAATGCAATTGTGTAATTGAAAGTCTAACACAAAATGTTTGATAAATTGCCATTTTTTGCTGGACATATGTATCAAAGAAAATGACAAAAATTAGAAATAGTCCTTACCAATGGTTTTTCGTCACATCTAGTCATAATTCGAAAGAAAAAATCCTAGAAAAAATTCTACAAAAATCGCCAATTACAAGATACAAACAAAAAAACACAAACAAACTGTGACTTATTGTCCATCTTGTTCAAAATAAATTCAACGCAGTATAGAAATTTATTATTTTTTTATTTTTTTCACTTAAGTGTCTACGTAAGTTTATAGGTAGGTATTTATAATTATAATAATAGATAATTAGATGATACAAATGACTGTTGCAATCTAGGTTGCAATAGTATGAAGAACCGTACGGAACCGTATACTTTCGTAAAAATGTTCCGGTTCTCACATAACAATCACACACAAAAATATTCGGTTCAGCGCGGTTCATACAATTTTGAAAAATTTAATTTGTATTTGGCTTTATCCTAGGCTCTATCCAATGCTTTATCGGTTTATTCATCACACAAATCAATAACCTCTCCATCTAGATTTTCATAAACCAATTCACACAAATGAGAAACATTTATACCAGCACTAGCATTTACAAATTCTTCATTTGGATTATTTGGATTATTTGGGTCACCATAAATGGGGCACACCATAATTTCAGCATCTGGTTCTGTGTTGATTGGTCTATATGTTGATACGTCCAGTTTGACGCGTTTTGTCGGCTGATCGGCTTGGTTTTCGCTCTCCATTATCTTAATTTTCTGCAGTATCGCAGTCATTTCAGACATTTCATTCAACGAAAATTGATGTGGCCGCGAAATCGTTAAGCGTTCGACTTTATTTGTACCTACCATCACTTGCTTTCTATATCACCTGTATATTTTTTTTTGAGCTTCACGTTCCGAGCGACATCTCTATGTGCTTGGCATTGAACTCGCGATCCAAACGAGCACCAAAGGCAATTAAAACATTTTTTTTTTGGTGCGAAAAAGTCAAAAATGTCAACTGATTTTGTGTGAAGAAAAACCATGTGATATGCAATGTCCTCGCAGTTAATTTTGATGACACAAACTGTGCAAAGTAATTTCAATTTATTTTCCATCACAAATTCACTAAATACAAATAATAAATCGGTTTTTGTTCAATTTACACGGTATATCTTTATCGAGCGTAAAATGACAGACGTCACAACAAATGATTCCGTATTCAAACTTCAAACAATTAACATTCTACACAAACTTTTTGTTCTAATTTTCATGAGCACATAGAGATGGCGCCATCATGCAGTTTTTTACATTATTTGCCATTGTAAGTGATGGTAGATTTGTACGTTCATAGGTGGCCTGGGCGGTGATGTTTCCCTTCCCATCGATTTCAATGTTCAATAAAAAAAATTCTTGTTTAGCTTGCGCAGCCATCACATCATCGACAACTACCTTACCCAAAATTTTAGGGTTTTGTTGACCTATTAAATAAATATATAAAAAAAACACAGATATAAAACAACATATAAAAAATCTAGTAAAAAAATGAAAATATACCGTGTGTCACAAAATTGGTACCGAAATTGTCTAGAAAATTGTTCGTACAATGTTTGTTTGAATTATTTTTATTTACTTTTCTTACCTTCATAAATTTGTATTGTAATTTTCCTTTGGTTGTCCCATTTTGTTGTTCCTACCATTGACTTTTCGATTGGATAGTGAGAATTTCTCTTGATCAATGGAAAATATTTTGGAAAATATTCATTACGTCCTTTTCTTGCAGTGATGACACCAATAGTTAGCGGTGTAACGTTGCGGATGTAAATGGATGGCGCCAATGATTTTTTTTCTATAGCGGCAGCTTGTACGCAAGCACCATACTGAAATATTTATAACAATTATTTAATTATTTATTCAAGCAATCTTCTGGGCAAACTTAATACGGTTCAATATTTAAAATTATATATAAAATAAAAATAAATATATAAGTAGAAAAATTACCCGCCAGCATTGGATCGATAGAGGTATTGACGGGTTTGTTAAAAAACGACTCGAGTGTTGTTCTAATAAGTGGTGTGTGAGTAACACCACCAACCAAAATGACTTGTTGGATCTCATCTTTTTCGATATCAGCATCTTGTATGGCCATTTGAACGCATTTCATGGTTTGGTCGACATATGGTTGAATCAACGATTCATATTCGTCTCGATTTATCGTGATAAATAATTATTTCATCTCGTGAACCATAATTTTATATGATCTTCTTTCAGATAATGCTTTTTTTGCCTTTTCACATTCGATTCGTAGCAAACAAATTTCATCGTCAGTGAATTTATGGTTGATATCCATCGCTTCTACTCGTTTCAAGCAAAAGTCAATAATTTTGTCTAAAAATTTTGAACCGCCAAGTCTCGTATTTCCATTGGTGGATCGTACATGATGCATACCTGTTTCATCTATAGATACAATCGCTACATCAAACGTTCCGCCGCCTTATGGAAATAATAAAAATATTCATGAGTACGCTTAGTACGCTTAGACATCCCAAAAAAATGAGAAATATTTTTACCTAGATCATAAACCAAAATGCTTTCTTCTTCGAATTTCCCTGCATTTTTTCGGTATCCGAATGCCACTGCGGCTGCAACTGGTTCAGTGATAATTCTCAGTACATTCAGTTGTGCAAGTCTTGCCGCGAGTTGTGTAGCTTCACGTTGTGTATCATTGAAGTAGGCTGGTATAGTAATGACAACGTTTTTCACTTCTTTTTTAGTCGAATGTTCGGCATCTTTTTTCAAACTTGTCAATACGATCGCCGCAATTTCTTCCGGATAGGCTTCGAACTTTGCGCCCACTTTAAACTTTGGACGACCAATATCATCTTTTGTGATATGAAAGGGAAAATACTTTATTTCACTTTCAACGGAGTCAAATGTTTGCCCTATCAGCCTCTTTGAATCAAAAATTGAATGTTCGTGATTGTTCGTTCCACTAGTCGTTCCAACAAGTACACCGTCATCCAGAAATGTTACACACGACGGCGTTGTTTTTTCTTTTGATTTATTTGGAATCGTGATGACTTCGCCGTCTTTCCATACGGAAATGGATGAATTTGTCGTACCCAGATCAATGCCGAATACAGGCGTCTCATTAGCCTCGAAATAAATAGAGAAGTCATCCAGATCAGCCATGTTTGTTAAATGAAAAGCTAAGGAAGATCAAAATAAATAAATTATAAATATTATTAAAAAAATTGTCCCATTACACCATTACACGATATTATAGCCAAAGAGTAGGCAAAAGAGCTAACTAAAGAGCCAGAACACAATTTAATTTGTCATGTCGTTGTTTTTATTTGTTTTTTTATTTGGAAAATATGACAATTAAACAAGCAATTAAACTTAAACATTTCTGTTCACATTTACCAAAAAAATCTAGAAAAAAATTCTCTGTGCATCTAACTATGCATACAATATACATATTTACACTAATTTACAACAACAAAATATACTACACAAATACTGTCAAAAATATTACAAAAATTGAGTACAAAAAGACTAACAAATTTTTTTCGTTTGGATTACCTTTTCAGAGTCTATTTCTAGCTCTATTTAAGACACAATTTTTCTTGCAATTTTCACTTAAATCTAGTTAAATACAGAGTTAAATATAGAGTTAATTGTTGCTAGAATTGTTGTGTCCATATAAAAATGTAAAATGGCGGCTATTGGTGTTTGAGGCTACTTCTTTGAAGCTTGCTTTGAAGTCTCTCGCTGTTAATTTACATCTGGTAATACGAAGGCCTATATACGTGACAGACATGACAACTAGCATGACAATTATGGTGAAAATGCTTGCACGTGTTAGTACTTATATTTAAAAAGGTTTTGCTAGATAATTTTAAATAAATAGAATTTAGCTTGGAATTTTGCTAGGAATTTTGTTTGTATGCCTGTAGCCTGATTTTGTATTTTAAATGGCTACCCAACGAACAAATATGTAACGTTTTTAGGACATTTTAACGTTAAAAAATGTAACGCTTTAACCCATTTTTGTGGCAATTTTCGTGTCAAATGGAAGGTAGAATATAGGCATAATGTGAACCACTTTTTCAGCTTTTTCGTGTTGCGATACACAACAACATCTTCTGTGTGCTTCGATTGTTTCTCTTTTTGTTATTATATTCTAAGAAACTGTAGCGGCAATACAATGTAAACAAATGTAAATAACATAAACTCGTTGAGTTCATAATATCGTATTCATACGATTGATTTTAAGCAAATGAAATTTGAAAAACAAACCGGAAAAAAAAGAGGATGAAAATACAAATCTTACTCTCTTCTCTCTGTGTGTGTTTCGATTGTGCATGAATAAAAAAAAACATTGCGTAGGAATTTCAAGTGACTGTGAAATACATTTATAAATGTACCTTTTTTTAGATTTGTTTGATTTGATTTTAGTTTCAGAAACATTTTTTTATTTTTTTTATTTTTTTTATTTCATAATTCAAATTCGAATTTCGAATTCGAAACATGTTTGAATGTGTACGACATTTGACAGTTGGTAGCTGTGTGTATTGGTGTGTATCATATCGAAGCCGATTTTTCTGATTACATTCAAAATGTGCTTCGTAAACATTGCATCGTATCAATTAATTTCTTTGAACTAAATAGGGATTTTTTCGCATCAAAATATTTTGAAGTTATTGTTAAGAATAAGGTAAGTAATTATGGTTAAGTTGCCATTGTGTTGAAAAAAAAAAAAACAAAATTCAGTGATTAATAAATGGAATTCTTGTACATGAGATTCATTTTTTGTTTATCGTCATTTTAGCAACGGTTTGGTGTGTTTGGAACGTAACTGTAGAAGTCACTCGATGTCAAATGGAAAGATTCACAGTCCGTTTTGTGACAGTCTTTGTTTTCATTTCAAAATAAAAAAAAAAACATTTTCATCGTTTTAATCAGGACACAGCGTTCTATAGTATAAGAAGTTATTCATTTGAATTGTGATATGAGTGTGTTCTCATTTTTTGTTTGTAACAAATTGTGCTTTGCTTGTAAAAGGAATTCTTGAGAATTATGTGTGAGTGTTTATATTAGAGTATGAAACATTTTGTTTGTCGTCATTTTTGGCTAACATTTGTTCCAATGATTTTGTTTGTTCGATGTTAAACGGATAAATTCACTGTTGGTTTTGAGATTGTCTCTGTTGTTATTTCAAAATAAGAAAGCATTCATAAAATTGACGGTGAATATTCCAACAAAATTTTCATCTGCGGAATATTGGAAAACATTTCATCATTTGAATCAGAATACAGAGTGACATCGTTGAGGTAAGAAGTGATTAATTTGAATTGTGATATAAGTGATTGTCATTTAAATTGTGATCTCATTTTATTCGTAATCTATGCTTTTTTTGTTGCATTTTTTTTCTAAATTTGTGTCTATTTTTTATTTTCGAATAATTTGATCAGTTTTTTGAGAATGAACAGAAAAAGACATGGATGACGACGAGCTCGATGATAATCAACCAGAAGAAAGCAAATACGTTGTAATAAAATGTGGACTTCAAACAATCCTGCGACAACAACATGAACGGATTGAAAGAGTTGGAGAAGTTGTGACCAAAATGCTATTCGAGCGCAGTGTTCAAATGACAGAAGTGGCAGCATTGGCATCACTTTCTATTCTTTTTATTTTGAATGAAGCACTTGATAATGACGATCGTGCATTTTTTTTGAAACCACATCCAAGCCTGTTCATTGCCGATTGTTTCAGAGCGGTATTAAACCAACACGTTAACAATATCAATAGTCAATATCGGATATTGCCCGAGTTTCGTTTCATGGTAGAAAGAAACAGTGAAGAACAGTTCCGATGGCCAGATGATGAAAAGTTGGGAAATGGTTTGAGATATTTTTATAAACAATATATCACAAACATTCAAACCAATACCAACACATGGTGTGAAAAACGACTTGAGAATTTTTTTCGAATGCGTTGTTGGTATCGCAATCGATTCCACAATGGCTCAAGATTTGATAACATCGACATCAGAAATGCCAAAGAGTTTTCATATCGATTTAAGAATTTAACAAATGGTAATAATGGTAATAATGTGGATCCACAACGCGTTGAAAAATTCAATATTTTAATGAGAGATTTGACTGAAATTGGATGGTCGGGAACAGTGAGTATGAAATTTTTCGCAAAATATCGTTGGTTTGAATCACTGTGGTTGTTCGGTCAAATGCAACGGCAAATAGAAGTGTATCACAGTCATGCCGAACAATGGTATACCATTCATGAAATGTTTCGCAACAATCCGAACTTTCAAGAGCCAACAATCAATCGACCACCAAAAATAAGCAGTTTTGCTCTTATACCATTATGCGACTACCATTTGAAAAACGTGCGATTGGACATTAAGGACTTGTATTATAAAATTGTAAACGAGCTTGATTTGGTGCCTTCTTTTCTCAATACGCGGACCAACCGGATGAATAAGAGAAATTTAAAGTACTACACCCAAACTGATCGATCAGGTCTATGGAATATGTTGTTCGATGTCGGTGAAATAAATAAATTGGGCAAATCGAAATCATTCCATCATCAGATTTTGACAGATAGTGTTTCAATATCCATAATGTACAAGAAACCACAGCGACAACAACGACCACAGCGACAACAACGACCACAGCAAACAACCCAAGCGAATCGGGGGCCGGAAAAACTCATTGGCAAGAAATACATCATTGGAATCGATCCAAATGAAAAATCGTGGTTAACCGTAGTTAACTGTAGTGCGTCGCAACATTCAAAAAACACCTGATGAGCCGGCTGTTGAGGTAACATATTTTGAAATGTAATTTGAAATGGTTTTGAATAGAAACTCATAGTTTTTTGTACCATTTTGCATTTTGAAGGAAAACATTATAATACCAAACCAGCGTTTTCATTGGGAAACTCAGCAGAAAAAACGAAACAAAGAAGCGAAAAAGTTGGCTGGATGGTTTGATATCGAAGAGAAGGAACATCTCAAAACATACCCATATCGTCCACCATCACCACGTAATTCAACATGGAAATCATACATTGAATATCGCATTAAAATGTTACGAAAAGGAATGGCAGCTTATGCGACGCGTGAATATGCACGACTGGATTTAGACCATCACATTCGCTCGACCAGAGTAAATGATCAAATCGCCGTGTGTGTGACAAACAACAAACCGTCGTTGGTTCAATTTGGTGCTTGGGCGATGAAACCCGATCGACCGTTTGGAATAAAAAAGCGTAAAAGATGTCCGGGATCGCGTAAGTTTCGTGTGAGCATTAAGAAACTTGGACATTCAGAAGTTGAAATGCAAGATGAATGGGGAACATCACAAACATGCGCGAATTGTCAGGAACGCTTTCCAAGGCACACAAAAGATGATCGATTTAAAGTGTGCTACGATTGTAGAGCGAAAAAGATTGATGGCCTGCCAGATTCAGTCGCTGGACTGCCAGATATCATTGTGTCAACGGTCAACAGACGTGTTTTGAGAAGAAAACGTGCAATTATTAAGCGACAAATTATCGATGGCAATCGTGAGGCTGTGAACGAAAAACTTCGGACTGGGCGTTTAATGTCAAAGGTTAAAGTTACCTACAAAAATTGGCCATTAAATGTTGATGATGATGATGTTGTTCCACAAACAGTTACTTGGCACCGAGATATTGTTGCAGCAAAATGCATTATGCTCAAAGGTATGAATCAATTGGAAACAGAATATTCATTACGAGTATTTAATGTATTTGCTTTAAATTACATAGGACTTTGCCGGATCTTTGATGTACCATTGCCAGTTTCATTGTTAAGACCGCCGGACCAAAACAACAATGTCAACTAACAAACATCATCAATTAATCATACATTCAAAAAATTACATAAAATAAAATATTTTAACTATTATAGTTAGCGTAGCTAGACATGAACAGACTATATAAAGTCTTGTGGTCTAGTTGTACAATAGTACAACATTGTACGGAGGGGGAGTGCCCGTAGGTGAGTAAAGTTTTTAATTTAAAAAAAGTATTTTATACCCAGTTCAACTGATATTAATGGTTGTCTTTCCCTTTTTCCATGTTTTCACACCTGAATGTTCCACCATGCCAAACCTATGGAAATGACTGAAACTACACAC